TAACGTGTTAATAAATGATTGGATTTTGAACAGGTGCTGGTGCTGGTGGCCAGTTCGCTCAAGGATCATCTTACTCCCAAACCACATCTGGCTTCGGTCAAAGTCAAACTGGTGGCAGTGGACAGGCTGTAGTCCAAGGTCAAGGATCCTACCTCAGGGTGGAGCTGGACAAATTGAGGTCGTTGGACAGGTGAGAAGGACATTTTTAATTTCTTACCAAATTAAAATTAAAATTAATCGTATTCAAGTTGAAACCATTTTAATGTTTGTTCCCTAGTATTGAAGAAAAACATAATAAACATCATATTCTCTTATTGAAACAGGGTTCCCAAGTACAACAAGGTCTTGGCTTCGGTGTCTCCCAAGGAGGTGGCCAAGTGATCCGTCAAGGTCAAGGAGTAACTGTCTCCCGCGGAGAAGGTGTTGGTGTCTCTCAAGGATTCGGAACTGGAATCCGTCAGGGATCAGGATCTGCTGTCGTTCAAGGAGGAGGATACGGCATTAGACAGGGACAAGGACAAGTTGTATCCCAAGGACAAGGCGTAGGAGTCATTCAAGGACAGGGACAGGGAGTTAGAAAGGGTGGAGGCCAGGGTGTCATTCAGGGAGGAGGTCAAATCGTGTCCCAAGGACAAGGATTCGCCGTTTCTCAAGGTCAAGGACAGGGAGTGTCCCAGGGTGTAGGCATCGGTGTCATCCAAGGACAGGGTGTGGGTGTTAGCCGTGGACAAGGATTCGCTGTTACCGGAGGCCAAGGACAATACACTACCCAAGGACAGGGATCTCTTGTGTCAAGAGGACAAGGACAATCCGTTAGCCAAGGAGTTGGATTCGGAGTGTCCCAAGGACAGGGTACGGCTATCAGACAGGGACAAGGTTTCGGAGTGTCACAAGGACAAGGATTCGGAATCTCCCAAGGAGGTGGTAGGAGTATCTCAAGGAAACGGCTACACGGTGTCCCAGGGTGGTGGCTATGGAATCAGCCAAGGTATCGGCTTCGGAGTACAACAGGGATCCGGCCAGGCTATCCTACAGGGTCAAGGACAGAAGTTGATCCAAGGTGGAGGATACTCTATCTCAAACGGAGGTGGATATGGAGTGGAGAATGAGTTTGCTGAGTCTGTACAGAGGGTCTACCTGCCCAGATACACCGGATCTGGAGATTGTGGAATACTGAACGTGAGTAACTGCTTTTTTGTATACTAAGTACAGTCGGCAATCCAGAAGTATCTGGATTGCCTCGTTGGCCGAGTGGTCGCAAGTGCGACTGCCGGGCAAGGGGTCTCGGGTCCGATTCCCGGGTCGGGCAAAGTATTACTGGGTTTTTAAAAAATTCTCAGTAGTAGCACGAAGTCTGGAATTGTACCCGGCATATGGCAATAGGCTCACCCCCTATTACATGGGACTCATAACATAAATAGTGAAAAGTGGGTGTTACGTGGTACAGTGGCATTATGTGCACCTCTGCCTTTCCCTTCGGGAATAAAAGGCGTGATGTTATGTACTTCTGGATTTTAGATTTTTAACTTACTTCAAACAAATGAGGATCTCAGATTGACCTCTATCATTATGTCGCGACTGTCTGAACCGATTTTGATGCGATTTTTAGAAAAGTGTCTGGGTAACAAGGAGAAGGTTTTAGTATATTAACAAACCGACTATAAAAATGACGGGATTGAGTTTTTCAAACGTAGTCTCTAAAAGAATTTTTACCTATTTACTCGTAGAAATAATATAGGTAATTTTGTACATTTTGATAGATAATGAAACTGTCTGTTAATGACTTTACTATTTAAAGTAAAGGGTCTTAGGATCGATTCTCGGGATTAACAAAATATAATAGAAAATTATTCATAATGAATTGATAAGTAATTACAAAAAGTCTGAATTATTCCCATCATCATCATCATCAATTTGCAGCAACGGCTTCTTCTCACACAGAGAAGATAAATGCTCATTTGAGCATGCACGCTTGCTGAATACAGATTGAAATTCAATACAATTTATTATTTACAAAACTGAAATATACGAAAATAAATACAACAGAAGTAACATATTAATGTAATATGCAATTTAATAACAATAAATCAAAAACAAATTAGTTATTTCGTAAATTAAATGCCATTGGTTTATAATTCAGACATTTTTATTATTATAATTTATGAGTACAACTTTATTTCGATTCAATAATATCATTCGGACTAATATTTTAAATGCGAAAGCATGTTTGTTGCACTATAACTCTTAAACAGCTGGACAGATTTTGATGAAATTTCTTGTATTACAAATTATAAGCCCAGGTTTCCTCACGATGTTTTCCTTCACCGTTTGTCAGTGGTGTTTACTAAATAATCTTAGAAAGTACATATAACTCAGAGAAAGTATATTGAGATAGTTATCGATCCAGTGCCCCCATGCATGAGAAACGGGCGTCTTAAACCTCAGGGCAACCACACGATTGTCATCCCAAAAAAAATACTATAGCTCCTTACAAACTATCATAAATCAATGAATTTTCTTACGCCTCGTTGGCCGAGTGGTCGCAAGCGCGACTGCAGGGCATGGGGTCTCGGGTTCAATTCCCGGGTCGGCCAAACTATTATTGGGTTTTTTAAACCAATGTCAAAGTCAAAGCATTCATTTCAATTAAAACATAATTTGGTATCTATAAAACGTCAACAAACACAAAATAAACAATAGTTTGTCAGTCAGTCTGTCAGTGAAGCTAGGTGCTCATTTTAAAATATTAATATATTCGAATGGAGAAAAACGACATAGAAACTCCATTCGTCACTCTTTAAAAAATAAAGTCTCAGTAGTAGCACGGAGTCTGGAATTGTGTCCGGTATATAGCAATAGACTCACCCCCTATTACATGGGACTCGTAACATAAATAGTGAAAAGTGGGTGTTACATTGTACAGTGGCATTACCACCCGAATACTGAAAGGATACTCAATTTGAACTTGTACTTAAATATCATGCCATCTCTGTCATTTTACTAACAACTTATAGTGACAGAACTGCTACTTGAGCGCGACTTAAAATTGAGTAACATTTCAGTATTAGGGCATAAATCCCATAACGTGCACCTCTGCCGACCCCTTCGGGGATAAAAGGCGTGATGTTATGTGTAAATGTTCTCACGTTAATCGTCAAACGCTTGCTCAATTCAAAGTGACATTTTAGTAAAATTCCTATAATTAACAAAGTTACGAAATCATTTAGTTACTGTTGATGTACACACTACATGTATGTATATGTATATATTTCTAAATGTCACTTATTTGTTACTATAACTGCTTACTACATAGTCAAGTTACCCGGTTACCGGTTAAGTAACATAACCTTGTTATTTGTAGGGCTTGAGATATAGTTATTACACACATACATTCATACATCAACAGCCTATAAATGTCCACTACTGAGCAATGCCTCTTCTCACGCGGGAAAAGTTTGATCATTAATCAACACGCTTCCTCAATACGGGTTGGCGATTTAAAACTTATAATTAGAAATTATAAGCCCAGGTTTCCTCACGATGTTTTCCTTCACCGTTTGTCATTGGTGTCTAGATAATCTAAAGAAGGTATATATAACTCGGAAAAAGTCACATTGGTACATGCCGTTGGTAGGTTTTGAACTGACGTCCTCATGTATGAGAAGCGGGCGTCTTAAACCTTCGGGCCACCACGACAGAAATAAATTGATGTCATTTAACTTCACGTAATGATGGCCCGGAGGTTACAGATGTTTCTCATGCATAAGGGCGCAGGATCGAAACCTACCAACGGCAAGTACCAATGTGACTATTTCCGAGTTAAATGTACTTTTTAAGATTATTTAGACACCACTGACAAACGGTAAAGGAAAACATCGTGAGGAAACCTGCGCTTATGATTTCTAATTATAAGTTTGAAATCGCCAACCCGCATTGAGCAAGCGTGGTGATTGATGCTCAAACCTTCTCCGTGTGAGAAGAGGCTTTGCTCAGCAGTGGGCATTTATTTATAGACTGTTGATGTGATGTGGAATTCACATGTTATTGTTAGTTAACTAACAATTAAATGTCACACCCACTTTTCACTGTTTATGTTATGAGTCCCATGTATTATTTGCTTACTCGGGGACAAAAGGCGCGATGTTATGTTATGGACGGTTTTCGTAACCTTATAATAATATCCTTCCTCTTAAACTGTCAAACACCGCGAGGACACCGGTGACCGCAACCTATTGTTCTTTAATTGTGTCTATAATGACGGTACTCAAAATCAATATAAGAACCGCATCAAAATCAGTTGCGCCGTTTCTTATATCTAAGCATACATAAGGACAGACAGACGGCGGATAGCGACTTTGTTTTATACTATGTAGTAAAGTGATGAAGCAAGGACCCCTTTCGTAATCCTTATTCCATTCAAGTATATATAAATATAATATATAAGAAGTTTTATATAAAACTTATATAATATATTATTTACAATGTCACTGAGGTCAAATATTAACCTCTTGGCCTCTACCTAGATGCATATATGTAAGCGATTATATATAACATAGTATATGTTTAATTTAGAAGGGGTAGGCAGAAAGAGTATTAGGAAGAAATATTTACACCAACTTATTAAGTACCGTTATGTTGTAATTGGGTCAACTCTTTACCCTACACGAGAATCGAACCTTAGGATCCGGTAGTCGCGCTAGTAATAAGCCAACTAAATTCTAGTGTAATTATGTATTGCTTGTAATTCAGTTTCATTGTGTAGATAGGGAGTTATTTATTAATGACACTGCTCAACCCGAGAATCGTACCCGAGACTTTTTACTCAAGCCGTGACCACTGGCTTGCAGCTCGGTTGACCACTTCGGTCAACGGTCATCCTCGTTCAGGTCCCAACCAAAAAAAAAACCGTTAACCTTTTCTATCTTCACCACCAGCCGCAAAAACCCTACGGAAACCGCAAGGATCTGGAGGTAGACTTCGCCGAGATCCCCTGGCAAGCGATGGTGCTGCTGCAGACGAACAGGAGCCTTCTGTGTGGAGGAGTCATCACCAGACCCGATGTTGTTATCACTTCTGCTAGCTGCGTTGAAGGGTAAGCATTCCTGAACTGCTGATTTTCAAAACTCCTGATCTATTTTCCATCAGTAGGGCTGATGCCCGATACGGAGCCGTGGAAGGCCTAACGGATTACCGGGGCTCCGACTCGAAGAGCAGGAGTAGAAACGGGGTGGTTTTTAGTCAATGAGAGTCTGACACTCCCTCTCGCCAACCCAAAATGGGAAAAGCCATTGGATGATGTCCCCCCCTCAAAAAAATAATCTATTTGCCATATTCTCTTATGAGATAGGGCGTCATACGTGCAGACACCTGACGGTAAGCAAGCAGAGCCGCCTTTGGGAATATATGGAACATTTATTAATCTTCATCATCATCTGTTTCCATCTTCTACTGGACGTTATCATCATCAAGACCCATGGCAGTCCACTGCTGCACTATGAGCCTCCTCTACATAAGAGGGGTTTGCCATAATCTTTGGTTGTCCATCGTTTGACACCACTGACAAACGATGAAGGAAAACATCGTGAGGAAACCTGGGCTTACAATTTCTAATTATAAGTTTGATATCGCCAACCCGCATTGAGCAAGCGTGGTGATTAATGCTCAAACCTTCTCCGTGTGAGAAGAGGTCTTTGGTCAGCAGTGGACACCTATAGGCTGTTGATGATGATGGCCTTAATAACTCTAATATAATAATCTCCTATCACCAACCGAAGCTCTAAAACCACATCAAAATTCACCCAAACCCTTCCTCCACAGCCTCAAAGCAGAGAACGTGCTCATCAAGGGAGGAGAATGGAAACTTGGAATCGATGAGGAGCCCCTCCCATTCCAGATTGTCCAGGTCAAGACCATCCTTCGCCATCCCCAGTACAAGGCTGGAAACTACGTCAATGATGCTGCCATTCTTGTTCTGACTGAAAACCTGAGGCTAGCCAAGAACATCTGGCCTATATGCCTTCCATCATCCAAAGATACCCTGGATGCCTTCTACAATGGAGCTGGTGAATGTATCGTTACTGGATGGGGCAAATCCGTGTTGCAAGGTAAGTGTTTTTGACATTTTTGATGGTTTTTTTTTATTGATCAAATATGTACTTTACTTTTAAAACGAACTACTATTTATTTATTCCAACGATAATAGAAGAATAACTCTATTCATTAGCAAGATTGCATCGAAATCCATTCAGAAGTTTTTAAGATGTGTAGTATTAAGCAGAAATTATTGAAATAAGAGTTTCAGAATGATTTACATATTTTTTAAACTTTGAAATTCGTACATACGTATATACATGAACTCACGCCTTTCTCCCATGGCGGTAGGCAGAGATTATGGGACGCCAATTACTATGATTCTCACATACCTCTATCGCTTCGTCAACAGTCATCAATCTCTCAACCACGCTCGTCGGTAATTTGTAATACGTTGAAATTCAACACTTATTATTATGAATTTATAACATAATTACCAAAACATGGTATATTATAAACCACTTACTTCTGCAAGTGGCTTCACTCGCGTTCCCGTAGGATAAAAAGTAGCCTATATGTTATTCAACACCATAATCTACCTTCGTTCGAAATTTTATCTCCCCAATTACTATGAATTCATAACATAATTAGCAAAACGTGGTATATTATAAACCACTTACTTCTGTAAGTGGCTTCACTTGCGTTCCCGTAGGATAAAAAGTAGCCTATATGTTATTCAACACCATAATCTACCTTCGTTCGAAATTTTATCTCGATCCATTCAGCCATTTTGACGTGACGGCGCAACAAACAAACAAACAGTAAACAAAAAAATTTCGTATTTACAATATTAGTAGGATTAGTAAACTTCAGCATAATAATCAAATATTATGCTGAATAATCAAATATTAATATAGTCGTGGTGGCCCGGAGGTTTAAGACGCCCACTTCTCATGCACGATAGTGCGGGTACGAAACCTACCAACGGCAAGTACCAATGTGACTTTTTCCGAGTTATATGTACTTTCTAAGATTATTTAGACACCACTGACAAACGGTGAAGGAAAAACATCGTGAGGAAACCTGAACTTATAATTTCTAATTATAAGTTTGAAATCGCCAACCCGCATTGAGCAAGCGTGGTGATTAATGCTCTAACCTTCTCTGTGTGAGAAGAGGCTTTGCTCAGCAGTCGGCATTTATAGGCTGGTGATGATGATGATGATGATGTTGAAGTTTAATTAAACAAAATACGTAATACTACGTTAAACTTATACGCATTTAACAAAACACCTTTGTAACACAAAACTAGTGACAATTGACCTATGAAACACTTAAAAACACAAAGTTCTAAAAACCCAAATTGTGTAAAGACAAACATTGGGACAAAACTATGTATCTATACGTAATCTTTTGACACCCAACATAAGATGACACTCATCTCAAAGTCATTTCCTACAAACTTGTTCTGAACTAAACAAAACTAGGGACCAATATAAAGTGGTCAATAACACTCGTTAACAAACTTAACTTTGCGCTTGTTTTCATAATTTTGCGTTGTAATTTCGACCTTATAGTTGTTTGAATGAGGGGTATAGTTTTGTCAGTGGACGGTAAATAGATTTCACATGCCATTTTGACATGGTTTCGTGACAATGAATTTATAAATGTCGCAAGTATTACTATTTATATGACATATTCGGACTAGTATTAGGAAATCTATTGATTTTGAATAAAACAAAACACTTCTTTATAATCTATTCTTAATATTATAAAACTGAAGACTGCGTCGTTGGCCGCGTGGTCGCAAGTACGACAGCCGGGCAAGGAGTCTCGGGTACGATTCCCGGGTCGGGCAAAGTACTATTGAGTTTTTATAAATTCTCAGTAGTAGCACGGAGTCTGGAATTGTGCCCGGTATATGGCAATAGGCTCACCCCCTATTACATGGGACTCATATCATAACATAAATAGTGAAAAGTAGGTGTTACATTGTACAGTGCCATAATGTACACCTCTGCCTACCCCTTCGGGGATAAAAGGCGTGGTGTTATGCTATGTGAAGATTTTATTTGGCCGCGTCAATCTCTGGAACTACAGTTTCAAATTTAATAAATCTTTTTGTGTCGGATAGTCCATTTATCGAGGATGGTTATAGGGTGCAAAATTATCAAGGCCCGAGTGAATAGGTTGCTTATGGGACGACGTGCTCCATCGTAGGCCGCATCATCGTGCACCACCAGGCGACTCATAACATAAATAGTGAAAAATGGGTGTTACATTGTAGAGTGGCATTAAGTGCCGTAATGTGCACCTCTGCCTACCCCTTCGGAGATTATAACATAATGACATCACATATTATATTATTATATAATTAAAAAAAAAAATCTTTAACGGAATAATTGACTTTTAACCCCTGACGACATCTTTAAAAAAAAACTAAAAATAATATTCAGAATCGACCAATCAGAATGCAGGATTTGTTTTTTTTTTCTAGGTCACGCTAATTCATATAATTTAGTGTTTTTATTAATGATTCTGTTTGACCTAACCTGACCTTAGCGTTCTCAATGGTTGCGTGGACACAATTCCGGCTGCTAATCGTAACGCATATAGTTTGTTCCGGTCGGCAAAAGTAGTATAGAAAACTAGTTTCGCCCGGTGACTTCGCTCTCATTCCCGTGAAACAAAAACAACAGACTGTAAAAAAACATAACATAACATCACGCCTTTTTATCCCCGTAGTCAGAGGTGCACATTATGCCACTGTACAATGTAACATCCACTTTTCACTATTTATGTTATGAGTCCCATGTAATAGGGGGTCAGCCTATTGCCATGTACCGGGCACAATTCCAGACTCCGTGCTGCAACTGAGAATTTTTAAAAAACCCAGTAGTTCTTTGCCCGACCCGGGAATCGAATCCGAGACCCCTTGCCCGGCAGTTGCACTCGCGACCACTCGGCCAACGAGGCAGGTAGTAGCAGAAGATAGTATCCCATAAAAAGTCGGTTGCCCAGCCGAAGCGCTAACTGTGACGTTGTTCATGATATAAGTTAGTTAGACCGGATCTAACACCTAGGATTCTAAAAACCTAGAATTGTTACCTAGGTATTAAGGTCAAGCTAAAGACGCCCCGAACGTTAATGTGGAGGAGTCGATTGCCGGGCCGCGCAAAGTATAATTGGGTTTAAAAAAAATTCTCAGTGGTAGCACGGAGTCTGGAAATGTGTCCGGTATATGGCAATAGGCTCACCCCCTATTACATGGGACTCATAACATAAATAGTGAAAAGTGGGTGTTACATTGTACAGTGGCATTAAGTGCCGCAATGTGCACCTCTATCTACTCCTCCGGGAATAAAAAGCGTGATGTTATGTTATGTACAAAGAAATCAGATTTTTTGGGTCATTATGAAATAATCTAAATACATAACATACATACATAACATCACGCCTTTTATCCCTGAAGGGGTAGGCAGAGGTGCACATTATGCCACTGTACAATGTAACACCCACTTTTCACTATTTATGTTATGAGTCCCATGTAATAGGGGGTGAGCGTATCTAAATAATGTTTAATTGTTTTGGTGTATCGTACGTCAGATTATATTCATATTACTTGGAAACTAAATAAAAACCGAACCCGGATATAATTAGAATGATGTAAAATAATTAAGTTTTGTTGTAATTAACATTATGTTTAGTTGTTAATTGCCATTTACAAGATGTAATTACTTGTAATTTGTATCTCATAATATTAATTTAAATTATTTAATGGGTTGGTTAGCGACGTGGCTAGGAAAGCGGCTGCCAGTCGGCCAATGAGCTAGTCATTTCTTTATTTAGCCTTTATATTAATCCTTACTTATATTATAAATCGGAAAGTGAGTTTGTTTGTTTGTTTGTTCCACTTTAACACCGTAACTACTAAACCGATTGCTTTGAAATTTTGCAGACGTTAATTTAGAAGTCTGGATTAAATAATAGAGTACTTTTTATCCCGGAAAAATTTGATATTCTCGAGGGAAAACGAAATTATTGGTATAGATGGCGCTGTGTGTATTGGTATATGTCATATAGGCTACTTTTTATCCTTTTGTGACGTGAGCGAAGCCGCGGGTAAAAGCTAATGTCATATAAGAACTAGGCACTCGCGCGATTTCACTCGCTGCTCGTCTATTAATCGTAGCATGATGTATTATAGCAAAATAGCCTTCGTCGATAAATAGACTGTCCATCATAAGCATTGCAATCATAGCCACAATACGTCTTAGGAGGCCTAGGTTCAGCATTAAGGCGTTCCTCAATGACTACATATCTATCCAACACATGAAGAATCATTCAATTCCAACCAGTAGTTCGCTAGATATACACGATGAGACAAACAGACTGTTCAGCTTTATATATTGTGTATAGGTTTAAAAAGTTGACTACCTCGTTAGCCGAGTAGTCGCAAGTGCGACTGCCGGGCAAGGGATCTCGGGTTCAATTCCCGGGTCAGGCAAAGTAGATACTAAAGGGTTTTTAAAAAAAATCTTAGTTGTAGCACGTAGTCTGGAATTGTGCCCGGTATATGGCAATAGGCTCACCCCCTATTACATTGGACTAATAACATAAATAAGGAAAAGTCGGTGTTACATTGTACAGTTGTATTAAAGTGCCGTAATGTGGACCTCTGCCTACCCCTTCGGGGATAGAAGACGTGAAGGTTATGTTATCTTTTGTTACAAAAATGAAAGTCTTAATCCAAGTTTACCGCTACTTTTAAGGTATTTTAAGCCAATAGAAAACTGTCCAAGGCAAATCATCTGCTAACGTCGGTCACTGTGACCCCACGGCGTTTACTTTTAATTTAACCTTTTTTTTAATTTAAACTACAATTGTCGGTACATTAACCTTTAATGTTAAACTAACTACATGATTAACCTTACTTTTATTTAAACCGAAAGATTATGAATATTAATAAAATCAATAATAAAATCGTTTAAGAAAGTAACTTCGTACGCATCGGTTTAAAATGACATTGACCTCAATATTTATTAAAAATAAATATTTTTCCTTTCGATAATCA